TATCCTTCTCCAGCGACTGGTCCCTTCTGACAATATGTCCAAAGTATGAGAGAAGAAGTTTGGCCTTCTTGGCCTCCAAGGAGCATTGGAGCACACCTAGTTAGAACTATTTAAGGAAAATCTTTACCTGGTTTTCTTTACTTTAGGCATCTGATACCTGGTAGCGGCATTTTTTATGTAAAAGTAAAAAGAAAATCAACTCCGAATTTCATAAAATAATATAGATACATTTGTCATGATCTAACTAATGCTACAAAATGAGAGCTTTATACGATTCATGTACCTGGACATGTCCAAAACACAGTTGACTCTTAAACAGCATGGGTCTGAATTATACAGGTAGCATAGTTGTTACAAATCGGGCTGCTAGCCTCAAAGTCGGCCGTTTGAAACTACCAGCTGTTCCATAGGAGAAAGATGAGGCTTTCTGCTCCCACAAAGATTTGCAGCCTTGGAAACCCTGTGCAGGGTCACTATGAGTTGGAACCAACTCCACAGTACTTAACAACAACAACACTTATACGTGGATTTTTTTTTTTTAATGTCATGCAATGCTAATTACCTCTGCATGAGCAATCCCTTTCTCCAGCTACATTGCCCACCATTTCAAGATAAATTCATTTAGCCTAAAAAAAAAAGGAAATTCTTGAAGTCAAAGCTGAAACTATGTCAGCAGGCACTAAAAACTTGTATTTTGTAACGAATATCTTTTCACTTCATATTAAAAATGCAGCTTTTATGTGGGTGCAGTACATAATACATACTACATATAAAATGTGTTAAGTGAGTATTAATATTATCTCTATAAGGCTTCCAGTCAGGAGTAGACTATTAGTAGTTGCATTTTGAGGGAGTCAAAAGTCACATGACTGCATGTGGAGTTACAAACCTGCATTGTTCAAGTTTCAACGGTAATGGGAAAAATAATGGTTTTTAAAGAATTCCATTTCTTACTTACAAAAGAAATGGAAATAACTCAACTTCAGAGACTAAGGGACTAGGTCTGCTCTCTGTGTCCCTGATTTCTAGACTCACACATTCATATGCTTCCTAAAATGTCTGTGTATTGTATTAAAACACATGCAATCTCACTGCCACAGAGCTGATTCTGACTCATAGTGATCCCACAGCGCACAGTAAAACTGCTCCTTAGGGTTTCCAAAGCTGTACATCTTTGTGAGAGCAGACAGCCTCATCTTTCTCCTACAGCGCAGCTGGAGGGTTTAGAATGCTAATCTTAAATGCTAGTCAGCAGCCCAATGCTTAATCTATCATACCACCAGTGCTGTTTTCAAAATACCATCACTATTACAGATTTGCTTAGCAAAATTCTAGCTGTAGATCAAGTCATTGCTTCTTCCTTCCTGGACTCTGTGGTGGCTTGGTGGTGGTGGTTATGTGCTGTGTAGTCAGTTTCAACTCATAGCAACCCTTCATAAGGTTTCCGATGCTGTACCTACGTACCCGGGAGCAGAAAACCTCCGCTTTCTTCCTCGGAACCACTGTTCACTTTGAACTGCTCATCTTAAGGCTTGCAGCCTGACTTGTAACCACTAACTACACTACTGATGGTGGTGGTGGTGGTAGTGTGCCATGGAGTCGGTTCCGACTCATAACTATCCTGCATATGGTTTCCGAGGCTGTAAATCTTTATGGGAGTAGAAAGCCTCATATTTCTCCCGCTGAACCGCTGGTAGTTTCCAACTGCTGACCATGAGGTTAACAGCCCAAGTCGTAACCACTACGCTACTAGAGCTCCTTAATCACTCTAATGCTCAGTAAGTATGAAGCTTGCATGTTGTTTCTAAGTGCTGTCGTGTTGATTCTGACCTATAGCCACCCTGTATAGGGTTTCCAAGGAGCAGCTGGAGAGCTTGAACCACCAATCTTGCAATTCAAACGACTTTGTAGTCTGACGCATTAGCCCACAGTGCCACACCAGGACTCCGTGAAGCTTCCATACATATGTGGGAAAAAATATGCTACAGCAAAAGATATTGAAAAGAAATATGATAATAGAATCATGAACTTTATATCCCATCTTAAATGTTGTTGTTAAGTGCTGTCAAGTTAGTTCTGTCTCACAGTGATCCTGTATAGAATTCGCAAGTTGCAGCTGATAGACTTGAACAATTGACCTTGTGATTAGCAGCAGTCCAGCGCTTATTCCATGGTGCCATAGAATTGCTTTTACAATAGAAATACAATAAAATATTATTGTCTGATATATTAAGAGAAGGGGTCCGTGTGCCACTTGGAAGAGAAATACATTGAAATTAAGTAATTATATAAAGAAGATTCTAAAACTCAATCCTGATTGTTAAGTGCTTTCCAGAGGGTTCTGACTCATAGTGATCATGTGTAAGGTTTCTGGGCAGCTGCCGGTGCATGCTTGTCCTCCTACCAAGAGACCCAACTTGGACCTTGAAAATTGGGATGGGTATGATGAATGGAGAGAAGCGGTGAACAAGGACTTTAAAAGTGACAAAGAAAATGAACAATGTATTCTTGCTCATGATGCAAACTTTATCTATTTATGTAGCTCTTGTAGACTTTCTAAGTATTTTGTTCCCCCACCTGATTAAAATATCTAAAAAGGCATTTTCTACCAATGGCACTAAATCCTTGCACTGGGCGTGTGTGACCAAACGATAGTAATGAAAATGTCTCCTTTCAAACATTGCTATTTTCCCCCTCTTGGAGCTGAAAATAAAATTGCTAGATGTCCTGCTTCAAATGAAGGAAAGCATGTTAGCTTGGTGTACTACTCTGGAAGAGGTATTACTGATAGATTTTCTTGAAGTCCTAGAGAGATACTCTGAGCAATCATTCTAAAAGAAGTGATCTGTTTATTGGACACAGAAAATTCAAATTCGCCAATCAATGTTGTTCCAACGTGGCAGTCAGGAGCCAGTTGCGTAATTATGAAGCCAAATAGCAAACATGTTTCACCCTCTGCATTTCACAATATCTATATCTATGTTTGTTGTTGTTATGTGCCGTGGAGTTGGTTCTGACTCATAGCAACCATGCACAGGGTTTTGAGGCTGTAAATCTTTATAGGAGCAGAAAGCCTTGTCTTTCTCCCGTGGAACAGCTGGTAGTTTCAAACTGCTGACCCTGACGTTAGCAGCCCGATTCATAACACTACGCTACCAGAGCTCTTTATAGGCAGGAGAAATATGAAGCTTTCTGCTCCTGTAAATATTTACAGTCTGGGAAACCCTGTGCAGGGTCGCTATGAGTTGGAACCAACTCCACAGCCCACCACAACCATATCTATATAGATATTGTCCTGGTGTGGCGCTGTAGGATAAGCAGTGAACCACAAAGTAGGTTTGAAACACAAGGCCAGCAGTTTCAAATTCACCAGCCATTGCTCAGAAACCCTTTACAGAATGAGTCAGAACAGACTTGAAAGCAATTAACAACAACAACATAGCTATAACATCTGAAGAGTCATCTCAATAATTTATTTTAAAATATATATTTCTATATTTCATTTTTTCTTACAGCTTTTTTACATGTCTCTCTAGTTCCCAGAATTAGCTTCCTTCTCATTCTATGTGTTTTTCAAAGTACACGTAAAATCCTACTTTCTCAATAAAGTCATCAAATGATACTACTGACACTTATCTCCAATTGTCTGTGAGAATATCTAGATTTAGAGTCAGGGCTAACAAAATGGTTTCTTGTGGGTTTGAAGGCCGATCCTGAGGTTAGCAATACAGTGGTTAGCCTACAGCACCACAGTTCTTGTCCTACATGGTCAAAGTACTCCATTAGGTGATCTGCAGAGTATAAACATGTGTAATTAAATGTCCACTTGTATGTACATTTTCCACACAATATTTGACTCTATATAGTGAAACTTACCTAGAATATGCTCAATACATACTCAGTGTCTTTCCTCTGATCCCCTCAGGTTACTGTTGTGTTATTGTTACTCTTAGACCTTTAGAAAAGTTCTGGGTTCACACAAATATTTAATATATGATGAAGTTGTTTAATTTGGAGCTCTGCCATTCTTTTAAGGCTTTGCACTATTCTATAGCAGTGTCATCCTGCATGTTACATGGTCAGTCTTATTCATCCTGTACTATTTTATACAATAAATAAGAAATTTGGGATTTCCTTTATGACTGTCTTTTCAGTAAAATGACAAATCCATTGAATTTGACACAATGTTTTGTAACAATGATCAGTAATTATCATTTGTTTTTTAAAGGCCCTCCTGGACCCCCAGGAGAAAAAGGAGATAGAGGTCCTACTGGAGAAAGTGGTCCACAAGGCATTCCAGGTCCAATAGGTATGTTAATAGTAACTAAATAGTTACTATGAAAATAATTAATATTTATCTGTGTACATGTGTAAGGAGAAATAGCTATTTTATATGTGTGTGTGTTGGGACAAGAGTAAATATTTTGTCATTCTAATCATTATAATATACTGCATGGGAAGCACTCACTCTTGAGTTTTAAACAAAGCTGAATGTTTTAGCCAGAGCCACCACATGTGGCTGTGCATAATTCTAGTGGTGAATACCAGATCATATATTATATGAGTGAGTTTTAAATAGTTTTGTGAAAAATTCCATTATCTTTTCATTGTATTTTTCCACAAACTTTTTGAAATCACCTCATACAACAAGGCGACCTAGTTTCAAGTCACATGTGAAGGAGAATATAAAAATCATATTTGTATTAAATGTAGTGTCAAGCTATGTGAATTTTAAGATAACTAAAAAATTATATTAATGTGAACCAAAGGTAAATTTACATATATTTCTTATACAGTCCTTGATTGGGATATATCTGGTAAAAACGCATGAAATCTGAATGTAAATATTGAATTGAATATATATGACTTTTACCTTTGCTTTCAGCTGCTCTCTAAATTTTAATAGTACAGAGTTGGTTCCAAATAATTTTCTCTGTAATAATCTTGAAAGCAATCTTTCCAAGGAAGACAGTAGAAAATATAGAAATGGAGTACATGAATTTCTGTGCTATTGAAAATATAACCAAGAAGGCAATAGCAATAACATAATTGTGTTGCTACTCTTGGCTAAAAATCAAACACCACACGTGCCTTTTGAAAATGTGGTATAATTGCATGGCCTAATTAAAACCAGAATGTCTGACAAAATAAAAATGTTCAAATACCATGGACTTTTCTTCTGTCTTTTGATAATATATAATTCTCTACTTTAGGGTCAATGTATTGACATTGTTATTGTTGTTGTTAAGTGCCATCAAGTCAATTCTGACCCATAGCAACCCTGTATAGGGTTTAGAAGAAGCAGCTGGTGAGCTTGAACCATCGACCTTGCGGTTCAAACGACTTTGCAGTCTGACGCATTAGCCTACAGTGCCACACTTCATATATACATGTATGGGAGTGTGGTGACTCTGTACAATAAGCATTGGACTTCAAGCCACAATGTCAGTAGTTGGAGCCTACCAGATGCTTTTCTGGAGAAAAATCAGGCTTTCTAATCCCAGAAAGATTTACAGCCTCAGAAACCCTATACAGGATAGCCACGAGTTGGAACCAACTTGACGGCACTTATCAACAATATATATAGTTGTTGAGATATATGGAATCCTGATGTGGAGCTGTGGACTAATGTGGTGCTAGACTATAAGGTCAGTTTGAACCACAAGGATGGCAATTCAAACTCACCAGCCGCACTCTTTGGAAACCCTACAATCTTATACAGGGTCGTTATGGTCAGAGCTAACTTGGTGGCACTTAACAACACAATATACCTATATGTCTTTATTTATGGGAACAGGAAACCTCATCTTTTTCCTGAGAAGCAGCTGGTGAGATTGAATTTACAGACTTTGTGGTAAGCTGTTCAGTGTTTATCCTACAGCATCACCATCATTCTCATATCTATATAAGTGAGCGTCAAAAAGTTCATGGAAAAAGAGAATTAAAAGATAATAGAATTTTCCCGCAAACTTTTTGAAAGCCCCCTTGTGTGTGTGTGTGTGTATGTGTGCATATATGCACATTTATGTGGTGTGTGTGTTTCTTGGTTGGGCTAGTGTGTTTTTGAAAGTACTGTCTGGTTAGAATTTTAACCGGAAGCCTTTCTACTTTACCAACACTCAGCACGTCTTAACAATGGTGAGTTAGTGTCATAAGCAAGGGAAGTAACCAGTATTAAAGCAGCTGCCAGAGCTGCTGGTTTCAAGGGTCTGTCAACTTCTCCATTACAAACTGCAATTGTCCAAGCTTTATTGTCAACCATAAAAGTTCAGTATGAGCTACAACTTGCTGTACAAGGTTTCATCTCGTGAGCATCTTTTCAGCTGTTTCTGAACTATGGGTGTATGAAATAAAAAAGAAAGTGGATTTTAAATATTCAGCTTGTATTAATGGCAGAAACAACATTGTAAAGCTTGTTTGATTTGGTTAGTGAGGGCTTAGACGTTATCCAGTGCCTTTAAAAAGAAGAACAATAGTTAGTTACTAGTGGTGGTTATGTGCCGTGAAGTCAGAACTGACTCATAGCGACCCTGAACAGGGTTTCCAAGGCTGTAAATCTTTACGGGAGCATAAAACTTCATCTTTCTCCCACAGAGCAGCTGGTAGTGTCAAATTGCTGACCTTGCGGTTCGCAGCCCGATTCATAACCACTATACTACCAGAGTTAGTTAGTAGGTGGATAAATTGACTCAGGCTATCCAGTGGTGTCAGTTTGTCATACCATGATGGCTTGCATGTTGCTGTGATGCTGGAAGCTATGCCACCAGTATTTTAAATACTAGAAGGGTCACCCATGGTAGAAAGATTTCAGCTGAGCTTACAGACTAATAGAATATGAAGAAGGAAAAGTGGACTAATTCCAAATGTTTAGCCACTATAAACCTTATGAATTGCAGCATAACTTTGTCAGATATAGTGCTGAAATATGAACAGCACAAGAACATTGGATGATATAGTAGCAGAAGATGAGCATTCAGGCTTGAAAGCATTCAAAATACAACTGGGGAAGAGCTACCTCCTCAAAGTAGTGTTGACTGCGATAACGTGAATGAAGTAAAGCTTTCAAGACCTTCATCTGACGATGGGGCAAAACTCAAAATGAAGAGAAACAACTGCAAACATCCATTAATAATCAGAACATGGAACGTATGAAGTATATAGCTAAGATAACTGGAAGTTGTTATAAATAAAATGGAAAGCGCAAAGATCAATATCGTTGGCATTAGTGAGCTGAAATGACTGATATTGGACATTTTGAATCTTAATATTATATAGTTTATTTTTCAGGGAATGACAAACAGAAGAGGAAGGCATCATATTCATCATTAAAAAGATAATGATGAAATTGAAGAATTCTATCAACTTCTTCAGTCTAAAGCTATAATCAAACATGCAATCAAGATGTATTGATAATTAGGGGATTGGAATCAAAGGTTGGAAACAAAGTGGAAGGATCAGTAATTGCAAAATATGGCCTTAGTGATAGAAATCATGCTAGAGATGGCATAATAAAATTTTGCAAGACCAATGACTTATTGCTAAAACCTTTTAAAACATCACAAAAGGGACCTACACATGGACCTCACCAAATTCAGGCTGAAGCTGAAAAAAATTAAATAATCCATGAGAGCCAAAATATGACCTTGAACATATCCCAACTGGATTTGAAGATCATCTCAAGAACAAGAATTTATGCATTAGACACTAATGACGGAAGACTAGATGAGTTGTGGGATGGCATCAAGAGTCATTAAGATGATACAAAAGAAAGAAAAGACCAAAATGGATGTCAGAAGAGACTCTGAAACTTGCTCTCCAGTGGAGGTATGCTTAAGTGATTGAAAGAAATGAGGAGGTAAAGAGTTAAAGAGAAATTTCAAAGGGCAGCTCGAGAAGACAAAATCAAGTACTTAAAAAAAAATGTGCAATGAACTGGAGTGAGAAAACCAAAAAAGAACAACACATCTGGCACTTCTGAAGCTGAAAAAATGAAGATAAATTTAGCCACTTGGCCAACTGATTGGAAGAGTTCAATACTTGTGTCCATTTCAAAGAGAGGTGGCCCACATAGAATGTGGAAATCACTGAACAATATCATTAATATCACATGCAAGCAAAATTTGCTAAAGATAATTCAAAAAGGGCTACAACAGTATCATTGTACTACTAGAAGTTTAAGTCAGATTCAGATGAGGAAATAGAATGAAGGGTAACACTGCTGAAGTCAGGTGAATCTTGGCTGAAAGCAGAAAAATACCAGAAAGATGTTTACCTGTGATTTATTGACTATGCAAGGCTTTCAACAGTGTGGATCACGAAAGCGATGATTTATATTTTGATGAATGGATATTAAAGAACACTTAATCATGCACACAAGGATGTTGTTGCTGTTGGTTGCCAACTCATAACGACCCTATGCAAAACAGAACAAACCACTGCCCAATCCCATGCCAACCTCACAATCATTGACAATTTTCAATTTTCCTAAATGAATACTTCCTATATTCCATGTTCCAATTATTAATTTCTCTTCATCTTGAATTGTGCTCCATTAGCAAATGAAGGTCCCATACACTTTGCTCCATTTGTGTCATCATGGTCAATTTTACTTTGAAGATGTAGCTCTTTCCCAGTCAGATTTTGAGTGCCTTCCAACCTGAAGAACTCATTTTCTGGCACTATATCTGACAATATTCTGGTGCTCTTCATCATGTTTCAATATTCAGTATTGTTGTGCTGACAGTGTTCCACTGCTGTTCATAAGATTTTCAGTGACTAAATAATCAGAAGTAGGTTTTCTCTCCTGTTTCCTACTTTCTTTTCATCTGGAAGATCAGCTGAAACCTATCTACTGTGAGTGACACTACTGGTATTTAAAATATACATGGCATAGATTCCAGAATCACAACAACGCACAAACCATCACAGTGTAACAAACTGACAGGTGAATGATGGCACAGAGGGATACTGAAATGTTTTAATTAAGTAAAGGTGTGCATCAGGGTTGTATTCTTTCACTGTACTTACTCAATCTGTTAAAAAAAAATATAGGCTCGATGCACACCATCAAGTCTGTATTTCTTTCAGCGTACTTTTCAATCTGTGGAGTCCTGGTGTGTAGCTGTGGGTTAATTCTTTCACTGTACTTTTCAATCTGTGGAAACCTGGTGTGTGGCTGTGGGTTAATTTTCTGGCCTGCAAGGTTGTCTTGAACTGCAGGATCAGTAGCTAACCAGCTACTTCTTGGAAACCTTACACAAAGTTGCTATGAGTCAGAACTGACTCAACAGTACTTAGCAAAAACAACAT